CAAGGACTTATTTGTTCCAAAAATTGTCCAAGGAGTTATTTAATATTTTTTGGAATGTCTAAGGACTTATTTGTTCAAAAAATTGTCCAATGACTTATTTAACATATTTTGGAATGTCCAAGGACTTATTTGTTCCAAAAAATTATCTAAAGACTTATTTAACATGTTTTGTAATGTCCAAGGACTTWTTTKTTYTTTAAAAAAAAAAAAAAAAAAAAAGTCTAAAGGAGCAGAACGTCATATCCTTCAACCCAACTCCCTCTCTCTCTCTCTCTGGGGCATAGTCCGGAATTCCTCTTGAACTGGGGATGGTGGATACCAAGGTAGAGACCATATCCAGGTTGGCTCAGTGGAGGATCGACAATTTCGGACCTTGTACTTACAAAAGATCCGAGCCTTTCAAAATCGGCATATGGAATTGGTATCGAATTTCTCTCCGTACTTGTGATTGAAGTAGTTTATGTTGATTGTAATGTTTATGGTATTTATTGAGATAAATAAACAGGCAATTATCAGTCGAGAAGAATCGTTATCTGTATATTCGTCTGTTTCCAGAGCCGTCTCGGCTATCCAAAGAACAGCCGCCGATTGCCAAATTCATACTAAGAGTCACCACTACGGGAACCAATCGCAGACCTTATATATCACCGAGTACGCACCCTTATTCTATGCAGATATGCTTTTCTCTAATTGTAATACTTTGAACTGTTAGTGTTTGGTTTGCTAATGTTTCAATTGACGGTGTTCCCACTTCTTACCTGGCAGACTATATAGAGAGGTCTTAGGGTTTTGTTGCTTAATATATACGAGCTGCTGTATCAACAAATGATTTAGTAAAGGCCCTGTTGCTTAGCCTGGAAACGGTCAATGAAGGGGAATGAGAACTAACCAGGAATATAAAGGGGACGGCTCACCCATTTGTAGACGACCATCTAGGGATCAGTGCAACAGATCACTACTAGCTTTATTTTCATCTTTATTTAGAAATGATGCATGCTTGTCTCATTATGACTGGTGTTAAGTTATCCAAGTTGCCTTAACAGGTGATAATGCTGCATCGTTGATTATTCAAAAACACTAATCCTGTTAAAAGTGGCATAAAAGCAAATGTCAATGACAAGTCAACTTCATGGCCTATGGACAAGATGACAAGAATGAATGAAAAGTTTCCACAAGAACTTAGGTGGAACGATCTGCTGCCTGTGATATGCTTCAAGTAAAGGCATCATTGCATTGCCACTACAAGGACATGTAAGCAAGCAAGAAAGCAAGGATGACATGGGTTGTGCGACAATTGAAGATGTAAAGATGGTAGGGAAAAACATTAAGTGATGAAAGCAAGGTTGTCTCTCCAACAATACCTTAAAGCGGTATATTAAACATCTTGGCAAACAATTTCAAGGGGAACTCAGGATGTTGGAGTGTATCAAAAGACGAGCTCAGCAGTGGTAGCATCATCACTAGTAAAAGATCCAGGTCACGCACCAACAACTAGAGGATTGTTTCGGTCTTGCATTTTGCAAATTCATAGTTTCTGGAAGCACTATGACCTCTTTCTTTCAGGCTTGAAGTCCGGAAACCAAGGCATTTCTGTACCAACAAAATGACAAAGGTTGAAGTAGGTTGAAATTCGGAGAAGGAAACGAACTAGGAAAAACAATAAAGCAACAACGTTTTTAAGGCTTCCCACTAAAGAAACATTAGGATCTATTGGCCAACTTTAACTAACATTCCTAGATTAAAAATCAAGAGGCTCAAGAATCAAAATTTATTGGAGCAAACTCCCAAACTGTCTTTTCTTCTTCTCTGAACTCCTTGTCTTGAAACGGATCCAGAGCATCTTAATAAGCTTACAATTCTAATCATCAATTCCCTGATCAAAGTAACTAACCTTTTCCATGACTTGATTCCAGTAGCTTTTTTCTTTGTCTCTTTCATCCTTTTTCCAATTGCTTCTTTCTTCATCTCTCTACTCTCAACTCTCTACTCTCATCTCTCGAATCTGTTTTCTTCATCTCTTCCATCTCTCTGGACCTATGTGCGTATGCAGATCCTAGAGAGTGAGATTTCTCTATGGTAAACACTCATGCTCAAATTGGGAGAGATGTTTTGCAAGAGAAATAATAGGTTTTCAAATACTTAGCATGAGAATGACGTATTTGAAAAAGGGGGTGTATGAGAGTGAAGTAGAAGCATAGGTGAGATGAAACTGTTGCATAGAGTTGAATTATGAGGTTCTAAAAAATTGTTTTCGTTATCATAGAAGAAGCGCTGTGAGGAATCAAATGTGAGTTGAGGGGCACACCGGCACCAATGTGAGAAAGCTGATGCGATATGAGAGTGGCGTGAGAGATGACAACGTAATGGGGTGAAGGGTAGTCTTGGAAGGAAAGGGGCTTTGAACGATTTAGGGACACCCTAATTCAGATTTCAGTTTTTTTTTTTTGCCAAACATCTCCCTCTGAACGAATCAGATGCTGGCTCTAAATAGTATCATTAAGAGGCTACCAAACAGCCTTAATATCCACATCCTTGTTTTTCTAGGATTTCTAATATTTAAATAGGGTGCTATGGCTTGAATTAGGGTTCATGTTTTATTTGTAAAGTTTGAGTTTTCTCTTGTTTTCCGATTCAACTTTGGTATTCCAACAAATCAATGAAATCTTGAGTCGTCTACATGCACACTGCCCATTAGGTGTGCAAGGTAAAAAAAGGGAGGTGCTATCAGTTTTTGTTTTTTACTTGTGTATCTTCTCCCCTTGCTTTCTTTTAGAAAACTTTGGTGTGCCCGACTTTAATGAATTCTTCAAGGCCCCCCTGAATAAAGCTCTTACTCTTTTAGTTTCAACTTTAAAATATGATCCAACATGAATTCAACACCACCGATTGCACAAATTATAGCTTCAACTGCAGGCAACTCAACACAACCTTGAACCTTAGAACTGTTGCTGGCCCACAAGCAACTAATTCATCCAACTATGGATAGATAATGTGTGAGTTTCATGACATTTCAGTGCAAATGACTATAGACACTCAAACTTCTAATTGATCAAGTTAGACGAATGACCGAGAACATTCAAAAATCTGATAACTCTTCCAGAACATTGATTGTTGACCTTCAAAACCTCTGATTAATCAGGTCAAATGAAATGATTGAAAGTACTCAGCAGTCTGGCTTCTTGTAAAAAACTCTAGAATAATGATTGCAAATACTCAAACTCTGACAAGAATATCGGTCAAACATATATCGCTTGATATATGAGCAATGTAAACTTCAAAGGGTAAACAAGGATATTTCTTGGTGTATTGGGCGATGAACGCTTTTATCGCTTAGCACTTTGAGTGATTTACAACATAAGGCTCATGACTTAGACAATAAAACATGGATGCCAGGCATAGTTTTGGGCAATGAATCATGGATATCGCTCAAAACATGCAAAATCATGCTAAGTCAAATATATCACTCAAACACAGTCTTGAAATCACCAAGCTACAAACATCTCCTTTTGGCCGATAAAGATACTTAAATCGCTCAAATAATCCTTAAGTATTCAATGGGCGATGTTCATCCATTATATCGCTCAATAAACACATTTAATGAGCGATGAGCACATATCTGACAATATCAAAGTTCTAAGTTCGACAGAATCATAAAAAATTTATCAAACAAAAGCAAAATTGATGATCAAGATAAGTTCGTAATCACCAGTATTCAAATCCTTTAAAAGGAATTTGATTAAAAACATTAAAATCATGGTGATTTTTGATCATTTAAGCATAAAAGGTCGAACAAGGAAGTTGTGTTCAATTTGAGTATATGTTCCATTGCTCAAAAACAGAAAGATCACTTGAATCTGCTGCAAATAGAATGATTGTATCGATTAGGATGAATTGATTCAGCTCTGATACCAGTTGTTGATCCTAGATCTAACAACAAATCAAGTTACAAAATGTTTAGAGAGAATTAAGATGAAGATCACGAGTAGAAACTGCCAACTTCTTTATTCATGGAAACTGGAAATACAATAGCTCTCAAATCCCTTAGTCGACTCTCATGTGAAGAATACAAGAATGAAACAATATATATTCTAAGCCCATATCACCTATTTATAGGAGACATTTACAATGATAAGCCCAATTGCCCTTAGCCCAAATACATGATATTGCAATACAACGCAATATAAAAGCCTTTATAAAACTTTCATTAAACTTAGGACAATTTTTGTGCTAACAATGGAGTTTCTCAATTATAGCATTATTCCTATTGTGTTGTGGCTTTTTTTGGTACTAGAAGGGGATAACTTTAGTAGAGGATTGCATTATAGCAAATGTAAAAGCAGTACATGCCTCAGAACTGGTGTTTTGGAACCCATTTCTCAGTTCAGCCATGAACCATATATGTTATTCTTATTCTGTTTTGCTTTACCCTCTACAAAATGCAAATGTTTTGTTCAACCATCCCGTGTGCTTTCATGAATCAATTGAGCACACAATGCCAAACCCACTTGAGTAATGGTCTAACTAATGTGTGAATAAGCATATAACCACAGAAATACTCTGCTCCAAAAAAGAGTCCACTTTTAACTTATTACTGTGAAGTGAGTTACTTCTTAACTTCAAAAATGGAGTTGTGTTGCTTGTAGCGGATATAATGACAACTACATCACTACTGAAAAACTATTAAATTTGTTAGTACTAGGTTGAACATTCATAATAAAGAAGTGAACTTTTTTTGGAGACCGGAAAGAAATTTATTACAATGTGTGTTGCAAGCATGCCAGCCAATTGTACATACTAAGAACAACATAACCTCTCTATGGATATACTCTGTGTGTTTGGTTTTAATAATTGTAAACCTTGTGCAGGTAGAGTCTCAAAACCTATTATTGGATTTGAAATGTTTGTAGCTGTAGCTAGACTAGTTCTCTAATTCCAATATTTGCTTAATGCTGCAGTTCATGAGAGACTTCTTCGGACAAGTGAAGACTTTGTTTGGCCTGTTGATTCTACTTTCCATGGTCGTTTCATCATTGATGTTGAGTTTCTGGACCTACAGGTTTATTCAGTAAATGTAAGCAAATTGACATTTCATACTAGTACACACACGGGACAGCAAAAACGTCCAAGTGTTCCAATAGGTTGTTTTTATCGGACTTCAGTTTGTAGGACCATACAGTTGTCTGCCCTATGTAAGAAGTATTACAATATGTTTGTACGATGCTTTTGGGTGTCTTAACAAGTTCTTAGGACACTTTTGAAATAAAACGTCCTATTATTTTCTTTTATGACATTATTTGAAAAGGTGTGTTATGAAAATAAGTGTCCTACAAAAAGATTCATAAGACAAGTGCCTGTAAAAAAATCCAACACGACAGATTTATTTTAGAAGTGTCCGAAATAACTTGTTATGGTGCCCAAAAGCGTTTTTATAAACTTATCATGACATTTTCACGTACAAGTGTTTGGTCCTATGAACTAGTCTATTAGGACACTTTGGCGTCCTATAATCTCGATTTTGTTGTAGTGTCATGGTTGAAGGGGATGATGAATGATTGGTTTTCTCTCAGTATCTGGATTAATTTTACTTCAGGGTGAGGAAGCAAGTTCGATATGGCCGAATGATGGAATGCTGCGATCATCAGCAAGCGAAAGCATTCTTCGGTGCCTTTCTCGCATGCTACACGAGTCAATTGATGCTGATGTCACCATTAAGACAGGGGATGAAACTTTGAAAGCTCACAAGGCTATCCTTTCTGCAAGCTCACCTGTGTTCCATAGCATGTTCCTACACAACCTTCAGGAGAAAGAATCCTCCACAATCAATATCCAGGACATGTCACTTGAATCCTGCACTGCCCTTCTCTCTTACTTATATGGAACCATTAAGCAAGAGGATTTCTGGAAGCACCGCCTTGCGCTACTCGGTGCTGCAAATAAGTATGCAATCACAAATTTAAAGGATTTGTGTGAGGAAAGCTTGTTAGAAGACATAAATTCTGGCAATGTTCTTGAGAGGCTGCAAGAGGCCTGGCTTTACCAGTTGGATAAATTGAAGAAGGGATGCTTGACATATTTGTTTGATTTTGGGAAGATATATGATCTTAGAGATGAAATAAACAACTTCTTTAGGACTGCAGAGAGAGAATTGATACAGGAGATGTTTCAAGAGGTGCTTACTGTATGGAAACCGGCATAGAGCAACTTCTACTCATCTGTTGGAATTAATACAGATGTTTCAAGAGCTCTGCCTGTTGGATATCAGTATGTAATGGTTGTATAAATGTGTGCGCTTTTTAAGATTTAAGCAGTGTGTGTAAACTTTGAAATCTAAAAGCATAAACTGAGGTATGTTAAGCAGAAAGTTTAATGGCTGTGAAATATATATAGCAGATTTTGCTTGGCTTTTGTTTGTTCTCGTATATTGTTTCCCTCTTACCCTCATCTTCGCGAGAAGTTTTTTTTACGTGGGATCCCGATTACACCAGCAAAGACCCAAAGAATATGGGAAGACTCTTTGGAGAAAAACCAAAAAACCCTCTTTTCTTATCGACAACCAGTTCCCTCTATAAAGAAAAATCACTAGCACTCATGTGTATAGCTGAGGGGGCATGTAGCTCAGTTGGCAAAGGTGTGGAGCAACTTTGCTCAAATACACATGTTCAAGTTTGAATCTTGTGGGAGGCCGGCTTGAACTCCTCTGCTAGCCTCAACCGCCAAGTCAGCTCTGAAATGCCTCCTTACATGTGATTCCTAGGAGTGGGGTAGGAGTCCTATGTAATCAACCCGTTGCTAAAAAAGAAAAAAGTCACAAAAAATAGAATAAAAGTAATCGTTAAATAACCTTATTAGGGACTTCCTCATGAAGATCATTCACAATGGTGTTCTTTCATTTTGCTTTTTCCATAAAAATAGAAACCGCATATAAAAACCGTGCTTGGAATTGCACAAACAAAACTGACATTTCTTTTTTCGTTTCTCAAGGGTTTTTTTTGCAAGCTTATGTGGCCAATAAGCTCTCCATTAATTTCTATTTTGATGGTCAGTAAAGGTATCTGACATCATAGAGCTATCGCTTACTCCCATGTTGATCAAAGGAAAAGATTGAACAACTATTATTACTACAACTATTAAAAGATGGAACATTGGCTTTGATGTTGGTGATGGCATAAGGTATCAGGTTGGAGAAGATGATTCCGAGGAGGATGAAGTGCCGGCGATGGCTAACGACGGCGGGAAGGGGAGGGGGACGGTAGGGTTCCGCCGAAAGAGAGACAAAAAAAATGGAAAGGGAGAGAGAAAAGGAAAATATAGGCTCTATGCCATGTAGAAGATTGATTTTGCCTTAAGGACCAATCACAATGATAATCACTATAAATAAATAAAGATTATAACATGGGCCTAACTAATAAATGGGCTAATGTTAATCCATATACACTAATTGGTTCTACATTGTGCTCTCTACATGTTTTTGGCAATCTTTACGAACAAAAAATAGATATATTAGATTAGCATTAATCTATAAATTTTTCATTAATTTCTCCAATTTCTCAAGCATTGTAAATCGATCGACTGTAATGGACTTCTCGGTGGTTTTCTCCGCCCGTGGTTTTTCCCATTTTGGATTTTCAATGTAAATCCAATGTCGTTTCTATCTCTCATTTATTTCCATCAATTTACGTTATTGTTTGTGGGTGATTATTGTTTTCATTGACATTTCATGTTTAATGTTTCCAAATTACAAACTAAGTTTAAGTTTATTTTTGGGCCTTAGGTGATTTCGTCTAATTTTCTACCCGGTCGATCTCGGTTTTCTAGGTTGGATTGAGTTTGGTATGGTCAATGTTTGCAAGAGGTGATATCAACGGTCTTAGGTTGTTTGTCGTAAACTACGTTTGTGAATTCTCAATTTGTTTTGAAGACTATGTCAATCATGAAGATGGACTTGTTGTTGCTTGATATGAACACTCGATTTCCTCTTTGGAAGATTAAGATGAGCGATATGTTGATACATAGGTTTACGTTGGTGTATCGAGGGTCGTGATGCGATGCCCAATGTATAGACTGAGAAGTTAAAGGATTATAATGATTTGAGAGTGATATCTCAAATTCTTCTACACTTGTCAAATGATGTTCAACACGATGTGTGTGACGAGACTACTACAGTTGGAATGTGGGTGAAGTTAGATATCTTGTTGATGACTAAAAGTCTATCCAACAAACTCCACATAAAACAAAGATTATATACTCATTGATTATAGGAGGGTGGCTCCATTATCAAACACATATCGACGTCCAAGGAGATTGTTGAAGATTTGAAGAACTTGGATGTGTCGTATGATGAGAAAGACTTAGGTTTGATTTTTAGTGTTCATTTCCGCCCGTCATTCGCTACTTGAGCTGTGTTAAAACAGGGTTTTTGATGGATACCATTATTTATAGCCGAGAGTCTTTGTCCTTGGAGGAGGTCTATGGATCTTTGAATGCAAGGAACAAGATGAAACAAATTGCTAATGTAACTAAAGCAGCCGAAGGTCTTGGTGTGAGTGGGAGACAGTCAGATAGAGATTTCAAGAGCCCAAGGAGATCAAGGTCAAAATCAAAGGTCAAAATCAAAGGTCAAGAGAAAGTTTTGCAACTTTTGTAAAAAGAAGGGTCAATGTTGATCCTCTCTCTCAGTGATTTGATGATAATCCCTTTTCACTCACGTTGTATTTATGTTTCTATTTTTTCAGTTCCAACGATCTCCACTGAGCATGTTCAGTGATCGCTGAAGAACTTGCATTGTAAATCTATCAGAGACAACAATACTTCAAGAAGACAATATTCACACCAAAGAACCTTCAGCAAGCATCGAAGACAGAAACTGGAGATTAGAGACTGGCAAGTACGTGATCTGAAGCGGTATTCAGTGATTACAAGCCTATCACATATGTGTGAAGACTGCTCAAGCTTCAGCGAATGATGAAGAGACCTTCAGGTCATTCTAGCATTCAACGATCAAAGGAAGCTTGCTTGGCACAATTGTTGTTGTCTTGTCCTTATGCACACAAAGGACAAAACCCATACCCTTACGAAAGTTAGTACGGTACGGAGCCGACTAGTCGACTCTATTGTCCACCAACTTTAGGTAAGGATGTCTGCTAATGAATAGTGCTTTTAATACTATTCACTGTAGCAAAGGACAAGCCTTCCTCTTAAGGCTTGACACACACTCTAACCCTACCATATTGCATTAAATGAACATTTAATGCACTGGGTATAAATAAAAGTGTTTCTTCTCCATGCAGAGTGCGCGCAACTCACTCTCTAACCCTAATTCTTACTTCAAGCATCTTCTA